CCTACCCTCGAGGAGATCAACACTCCCGCTGCACTTGGTGTCGTCTGCAAACTTACTGAGGGAGCACTCGATCCCCTCATCCAGATCGTTGATAAAGATACTGAACAGGACCGGCCCCAAAACCGAGCCCTGGGGAACACCGCTCGTGACCGGCCACCAACTGGATTTACATGCGTTCACCACAACTCTCTGGGCTCGGCCGCCCAGCCAGTTTTTTACCCAGTGAAGAGTGTAGCTGTCTAAGCTTCTCTAGGAGAATGCTGTGGGAGACAGTGTCAATAGGAGTAACTAAGGAGCACAGAGCTGCGGCCACCCGAGAAAGACCTGAGCACGCCCTGGCGTTTAGTGCTCCTGCTCCCACTGCTCCCCGTGCATGGCTCTGTGCATGACTCCAGGATGAATTCAATTGCTGCCCCTGGCTCCGCAGCATGGGAATGGCAGACGCGAGCAGGTAGCACAGATTCCATCAAGGACCTGCGGTGATGGCATCCTTACCCATGTTATGCCAGGAGCTGTGCAGTCATTAAGGATGAGGTTCAGACTATTAATGATGTGAGGTTTAGACTACTAATGACAAGCCTGAGAGAGCCCTGGGAGCTCACTGCTGCGTCTGTGTTCAAGGCAGGGAAGTTCAGGTCACCTGCCATGATGCCTGGCTTCATTCTGGCTTCTTACACAGTCAGTGGTGAGAGGTAAATGCCTTCTCTAGGTGTCTTATATACCACAGGTTTTTTCTTCATGGCTTGGATTTCATAGTTCAGAGGAACTGAATTAAGGTGCCATGGTAGGTGCTTAAATGAACTGGAGGTACCACCACTGTAGGAGATGAGAACGTGACCCTAAATCAAGCCACCTGTTGGTCTTAAAAATCTCTTCTAGAAAATAAATCACAAGTTAGAGGCTTGGTGCAGGGTGGCTGGTGAGATTCTGGAGGCTGTGTTGAGCTGCGGACCAGACTGGAGAGCTGCAAGCATCCCTTGCAGCCTAAACCAATGTGTTTGGCAGGGCAGCTAAGTAAAGCATACACTCCTCTGAAGCGCTGCAAGGAAAATAAGGAGGGAGCACAGGATGTGGTCCGAAGCACAGCGTGCGGTAGCAGTCGTAATGGAAAATATACTTCAAGGCCCATTTTACATGTTGCTTTTGAGAAAGGCAAATTGCATCCAGTAACTCTCCTCTCTACTATTTCAGATAGACGATCCAGAAAATGACCTGCATGAGATGGTGCGTGAAGCCGATATCATTGGCACTGTGGCCAACCTTGGTGCAAATCAAGCCCTGACCTCAGACTACGTGGGCTCCAGTTACGAGAGAGGGCTGCTCAATCCCAGCTTGCTCAATGAGGAGGATTTCCAGATGGCCACTTACACGCTCACGAATGCTGTCCCTCTGAGCCCGTCTCTGAGCAAAAGCTGGCACAGAGACATTGGGAGGGTAGTGGAGCAAGCTCTGGTTCCTCACTGCTCCAAGAAGGATCATCTGTATCTCCTCGCAGGCGCGATTCCTTCCGGTGTCCGAGTTAAAGGCAAGGTGTCAGTGCCAGAGACCCTCTGGCTGGCAGCCTGCTGTGATGATCGGGAGGGGTGGTCCCTGGGACTAGTGAAGAAAGTGAATGATGAAAACAGCTTGGCGGACCTCACGGTGGGAGAGTTGGAGAAGCAGCTTCTAGCAGGGGTTCACTTGTTCAACGGCAACTGTGGGGAAGACAACCAAAGCCAGGAGAAAACAGAAGCAGTACTGCAAGCTGTCAGTCAGATCCGCTCTGGAGATCAAGTAGGAACAAGTGACAACCAGGAGGCCAGAGACAGCGGCTTGGTGAGGAAAGTGGCTGGCATTATTGCTACCCCTTTCATCAAACTTCTGGAACTCCTCATCTATGTGTTTGTGGAGCTGGTGAAATTTGTGTTTTATTTTCTGTGGCTTGTTATCAAGCGGGTTGGTGGCACAGTTCTGGATGGAGTCTACAGCCTGTGGAACGGGGTGGTGTCCTACCTTAAAGCCATCAGCATGGTGCTCATCAGCATCCCCTATGATGTGGGGAGGGTCATCATCAACATCTTCCTGGGCTTCCTGCAAATTGTTCAAGATGTGGCGTCCCTCACCTACAGGATCCTGTGCATCCCTGTGGGGTTTGTCCTTCACCTCGCTGCTTTCCCTTACCACTCCATCTGTGCCATTCCCTCTGTCCTCAAAGACATGGCCACTGGGATTGGGGGCACATTCTCGCTGGTCATCGATGCCACAGCTGCAGTTCTGCATGGCTTTTATTACTTGGCTGGTCACATAGTCAAACGGTTTGTCCCTAAAGGCTCCTCTGATGACTGATAGGGATGGAAACCAAGGCTGCAAAGACACGGAGTGAAGGAGGAGTGGGGCAATGCTTTACGATACGTGGCCAAACGCTGTCAATTTTGTTCTGGTATTTATTGTAGTGACATTAATAATAATGAACCGACTGGGGAGTAACAGGGAAGGCTGAGGTAACGTTGCTGGGGGACACCACCATTGTAACTCAAGTTCTGTCTGTTGTAAAGTGTTCGGGTTTTATCGGTGCAGGCCACGCAGTTTCTGTGATTTGCAGAAGTCAAGATGCTTTCTCTGGGAGATGCTGTGGTATGGGGTTATGTGGTATGGGGTTATTTCTTTCCAGCAAAGGTAACACTGAGACCTGCACAGTGGCAGAGAGCTCCGCAGAAGCCCATCCCTGCTGGGGAGGAGGTGGTGGTTGGGGCAGGATTTTAGTTACGGAGGGTTTTCTGGGATCTGGAGAAGGGAGAAGGAGATGAGGGTGCAAGGATTTGGGGCTGGGATATGCTGGGGAGTGAGGAGGGGTGGGGGCAAGATCCTGCTCTTGGTTGCACTGCTCGTTGCACCAGGGTCCCACTGGTGGAGGGGATACAACCAGGTGTATCTCATAGTCCTCAGGCCTTTCCAGGCAGCTGAAACCACGTTTATCTTGCTGTGAGGAAAGACCTGCTGCCGTTTTTAAACATTTTCTCTTAGCCATACCAAGGTCATCTTCCCCCAACCCTTCCTTGCTCTCTGGTGACCACTGAAGGTCTAAGCCCTGAAGCTTCAAGATGTGGCATTCCATGATGGTCTAAGCCCCTGAAGGTCTCAACCCTGAAGCCCTTGTGCCTGCTCTGAAGCCCAGCAGCGCCTGGGAGGCACGCTTTTGGCTTTCAGTCAGCTGCCACCTGCCCTGCTCCCTTGAGAGCTGACAGCTCCCCAAGCTCGCAGTGGTATTTACGTGGTCTCCACGAGACGATGCTCAGGCTGTCAGATGGGAGAGGTGGAAGGGGGATTTGAGGCACCGCGTTTGTTTTGCTGTGTAAATACCCCCCTGGTGAGCCCATGCACTACCAGACATGTTTACGTGGGAGGGGGACTCAACCCCGCTTCTGCACAGCTCGTCCTCCCTGTTAGCTCTTCTTCACCCTTTCTCCCCACTGGCGTGAGCGAGGACCCCCGACATCTGGGACACTGGAGCTGGGGTGCACACGGGGGCTTTGCAGGGAACCATCAGGAGTTTGCAGCCAGACAAGGGGCGCAGGGACACCCACCGCTGCTGGAGGAGGGCACAGGGGTGCCGCCCTTCCACAGGGCTTGGCTCAGCGAGGGGGTTTGGATCTCTTGGTGCAGTTGCCTGCAGGAGGGAGGCTCTCGGTGTCAGCAGCATTTGCTCTGGCTGGATTCCCAGAGACATTTGGGAGTCCTACATGGATGGATCCTGCCTTTCACTCCCACCTCTGCCCCTCCCTCCAGCACCAGGTTGGTTGTGGACCCCTGATCTGCCATAGCACCCCATAAGGAGTCCCAGGGGTGTGCAAGCTGGTGCTGCCATCCCGGTGGGGGACCCAGTGGTGCTGTGTTGCTGGTGGCCAGTCCTGGGTTGAAGAAAGCCCTATTACTCCATGAAGCAGCTTTGCTGCCTCACGTTGCTCACGGGGGGGCTGAGCTGGGCGGGGATGGATTTGGGGGGGTAAAGGGGATTCGACTGGTTCATGGTGGCAACAGAGGGTTGTTTCCTTAGCTCAGGGGCTGTGTTTGATGCAAGTAGCTGTGTGTGCCCATCCCAGACCAGCACACCCTGACCAGGTGGCACCCTCTTCGGCAACAATGCTAATGGCATCGCTGGGGATGCGCATAATGGGGATGAAGTGGGGAGGTGGTGGGCTGAGCAGGGACAGAGGACAACCCGTCTCACCCTTCATGGGCCACAGCTGGCTCATGGAGAAAGAGAGGCCACCCGGCAAGCAGTGCTGGCTTTGTTCAAAAGGAAAGGCAGCTTTTGTGTGCCAATATGAGTCTAACTGGGTGAAGTCAGCAGTGTTTTACAAATCCCTCCTTTGCCTTGGAGCTGTTGGTACAGGGATTTTGGGTGCAAGGTCCAGATCGCTGCTCCCAGCAGGCAGACAGCAGCCCGTGGATGCTCTCCAAACCAAACTTTGCATATTTCCCT